CGGCTGCGGGTGTGGGGATACGGGTGGAGAAGTAACCGCAGAGTAACTCGGTCCTGAACGCTTAACTTTCCTTCTTTTGAAAGGCTGAATAACCCGTTCTTGCCTCAGACAAACAGGCTGCAGCCAAAGATATCCCCATCTGCAGTATCAGGTATTTTGCAGGCGTTACCATTTTTTTGTTCAGTTTTCATCATTTAGTGACAGCCATTTGCAAAATAGTCTGTTTTGACTTTATGCAGACAAAGACTGTTATTTTATGAGCATCATGGAAAATAAGCATGGGCAAATATATCTTCTTGTGCTTCTGAAGGGTTCAAACCTTGATTAACCTCTTTGGTGTTCCATGTCCTAGTGCTGTTTGGACTGCTTTTGTCACAGATATGTTATCCATACGTTTTATTCTGTTTTCTGAGCGAGTCACAGATCCTTGTGATCCTTACTAAAAACTTATTTTCTTTTCGAAATGATCCTCGAGATTGTCATATAAAAGTCATCCCATCATGTCATAGTACTTAATACTCAAAAATGGTCTTAAAAATAGTCTTAAGTGTAGTCTCGGAACAAGTCATAGAGGCTTGGTTTCACACTCAAAGCCTGAGTACTGCAATGTAAGCCCACCACTTTAGCAAAATAAACAGGAATCTAAAAAATTCTAGGCCACATACGGATGAGAGTAGATACAATAAAATGCAAAGAGTAAGCAAAAGGAAGTAACCGCAGTGTCTCTGCTAACCGTAGGCACGTACTTGAACCTTGTTCAGGGAAAGTGTTTTGGTATGGAAGCACTGAATGTGATTATGCTTAATGTCTGTTGTCATGTTTTATAAACCCAAACTAGATGTATAAATTCTGCACATACTGCACGTGAGAAGTGATAGTTAGAAATGGGATTAGTAACAGAATGCTGGGTGGAAAGATGACAAAAATAGCAGGAAAAAAGTTACACTAGAGATTCTTTCCTGGATGCGGGAGCTTACCTGTAGCCAAAAATGGTGTTTGTGGAGCTGGCATCTAGGGCATGGAATCCTGTCTTGCACAGTTATTTCTTTAGCATGGAAACCTTACTCATTCCTTTCTTTTACGAGACAGCTGGGGTAATAGTTCCTATACTTTCTCTTTTAGACCATCTGCCAGGAAATGAAGGAACGAGTTTAATGCATTCCTCAGGGACGTTCAAATTTGAGCATCTTCATCACAAAGGCACAGACTGCGTGTAGTAGAGGGGCAAACCCTTTGACCAAGCCTGTGATAATCAGTAGAATGAAATGCAGGATCATACAGTCAGAAAAAGCACATGTGAACGAGAACCTGCCTGTGTGCCTGTGGTTGGGGCAGTCTGGAGGGTGTGATGCTGGTGCTCTGATCCTTGTTTAAAGGGTTTCTTAACAAGATCTTTGGAAAAAGCGCACTGGCAATCCCAGCAGTGCAGAATTAGAATCCAGGATGAGGTTTTATTTTATTTGCTTTGTAATCTCTTTTCTTCTCCTATCCTCACAAATATTTAATCCTTCCGTGCATGTTCCCCTTACACAAGGCACACTGAAATACCCCTGAGGCACATAGTTCAGGACTCCTGGCCCTTTTTTGAATGACAAGATACCTGACTTGGATTGGCAGCAAGGCTGGAATGGTCAGTTCTGCAAGGGTAGAGTTGTAACCGGTGACCTGTCCGGCAGCAGAAGGTTTATCTTGTTGAATACTGACTAGATCAGACCGTGAAGGCAACCTGTGAGAGGAATATCCTGTCAGAGAGTCTCAGTGAAACTTAAATATGCAGCAGTGCTGGCATTCTGAGGAAATGGGCTTCACCAGTGTAAACTCGAGGAGTCTGGAGGACTGTGAGGACAGGCAGCTGCCAAGCAAGAGTTCTGGTGATTTCAATATCAGAGTTTGGCAAAGTCTGCGCTGATGATTCGTTCTTTGGGTCTGGCCTCCAAATATCAATTTGTATACAGGTTTCTTATTTCTGTCGTAGAAAGAGGCTTATCTGTTTCACTGAGGTGAAGACAGTTTTACTGAAGAGGAAAAGTGTTAACATGGCGCAAACCAGTATAGCACTAGCAGGAACTTACAGTAATCCATATGGAAGATACAAATTTCCTTATGTGCAGCACAACACTAAATTTGTCACATAATCCTCGCTGTTTGTCACCACAGCAACTTGCTGAAATTTAACCAAAACGTTATTCTTCTTTGATGTAATTTTGTGCTCTTTTTAGGCCCCACACATCTCTTTAGGCTTGCTGGCAAGTGTTTCAGTTTTGTGGAATCCACGTGAGTAATAGATTTGGATATTTGATTCTATATCTTTACTAGGAACAAACTATTTTTTTTATTTTAGTCTGAAACATTTATTGTTTTCTTTCCCTTTTTTTTAAGGTACAAGTATGAGTTTTGTCCTTTCCATAATGTCACTCAGCATGAGCAGACTTTTCGATGGAATGCCTATAGTGGGATTTTAGGGTGAGACTTTTAAGTTTTACTTATCTTGTTAGCAGACCGTTTTATAGATTGTCAAAAAGAGACGCAGTTTTAAAATTAAGAGTCTTTTATTGTTCAACTTAGGTTATTGTAGTTCCCAAGGTGTTATGCATAAAAATACCCTGTGTTGAAAAATTCCATTTTTTGTGTTGATAAGTCCTAACCTTCTATATTTTAGCTGGAGACTGATTAATAACCAGTGCCAACTGCAGGTGTGATACATCCACATGAGAAATTCAGTAATGTATAACTACAGCTTATCATAACAAAGGTTTCATGTCTGTTAACTGTTTTCAGTTTGAATTGAATATAACCTTACAAAATGAAATGAGTGCTTTATACCTAGTGGTTGTGTTAAACATATTTAATAAAAGGTAATAAAAGACTCAACATAGACTCCAAAACGTATCCCAGAGTATTGGAAGACCTCCAAGTCAGAGGTTGTTGTCAGAGGCTGGAACAGGCTGCCCAGGGAGGTGGTGGAGTCACCATCCCTGGCTGTATTTAAAGAGCGGGTAGACGAGGTACTTAGGGATATGGTTTAGGGGGTAGACAGGAGCGGTGGGACGTGATGATCTCGGAGGTCTTTTCCAACCGAGCGATTCTGTGATTCTGTGAAGTATCCAAATCATTAGAGCACTGCTTTAAAATTACTGTCTTTCTAGATGTTTTGTATGTAGATGTCTTTTTTTTCCCCTATATGCACAGTAATTAGTGAGCCAATATGAGAGGAAGAGGGTACTTCAAGATGATGAGAGTATTGTTGGCTTTACGGCTAGCAGAAATAGAGACCAGATTTTGCAGTTGCTCTTGCCAACACTAAAAATCCTGCAATCAGATCTGAGTTGTACAGGGTACTTAGCATCATGGAATTTGTGGGGTTGATCTATAAGCTGTGTTTTATTGGATTTAAATATGGGTTTATAAGTGCAAATGGTTTGCAGACTGAAAGCTGATCCAAAACTCTGCTCTCAGAGTAATGGTGATGTGTCTCATGTAGCAGCCTGGATACTTGGATACCAACAGGTCTTGGCTGTAAGAAGTGGAAATACTAAGACAACAAAAATTAAGTATATACAGTTAAATTGAACATGGTGTAAGAGTATTCCCGTTTTTCTTCCCAAGTGTTCACCTTTTTCTTTCCAGTAACTTCAAATAAAATGATGTCCTGTTTTTTCAGCATCTGGCATGAATGGGAAATTGACAACAACACATTTGTTGGGATGTGGATGAGGGAAGGAGACTCGTGTGAAACTAAGAGCAGACAAACAAAGGTACGATAACCCAGACAGCGTGACTCTCCACACACTCATGGCACTCTACAGACTGAAACATTCCTACCTTGAAGAAGTCATTATTTAAGATGACATCAAACATAATCATAAAACAGCTCCTGTAGGAGCTAGGTGAATGGATGGAGGAGGGAAGTTAAAATCAGGACAAAATTTTGAAGAAGTTTAGTTATGTAGTCTCACCGGTTACTTTTACCTCTTTTTTTTTCTTTGGTAGAGTGGTATATTCTGGTATTATTGCTACTATAGAAACATAGCATGCTTTGTAATTTGTGTCAGGAAAAAGAAAGAAAAGAGCTATTTGTTCAATTTGAGATGCCAGCCTACTGGGCTGAGAACATCCAGGAAAAGGAGGAGAAAGAACTGGGCAGTTAGCTGAGAAGCTAAGTAAGGTGTCAGAACAAGAGCAAGGACAATTAAGGAAGGAATCAAATATATGGGAGTGGCAGAACAACCAACTTGAGAGAAACAGAGTCTGTGGTTGAGTATGTTTTAAAGAAAAGGTAAAAATTCTTATTTTGTGGAGTGGTTTAAAGGTTACTTTTCACATTCAAACAGTCTCTGTGCCAAGTAACTATTCAACTAGGCGGGTAAGGAAGTATCTCTCAGACTGGTCCAGTGTGTGGCGCAGGATTTGCACACAACCTTTATCCTTTTATTCATCAGCATTTTTCTTTTTCCGTGTCCCATGTCGGTGTGTTATACAGGTTTAAAGATACGATGAATTAGATCTCACGTTCTCTGGTGAAGTAGATCACTATTGTGAAGAAGAGTTAAATACACTGTGCAGTTCACAACAGACTGCTTTTCATGTAGAAGGTGCTTTTGCTATTACAGTGGTAGGTGACAGTACAGTACTTGAGAGAGGGATGTACAGTGGGAGTAGTAACTAATGTGAATACAGGTTAAGGGACAAAGTACCTTGGCCAAGGTGAAAATATTCTGTATTGTAATGGAGGTGCCTTGTCAACATCTTTATCTCCCATAGGGACTGCAGCAGGAATTACTAGTGTTGTATGACCTTTGATAGTGTGATTAAAATATTTCGCTGGAATTTAGTTTTGAACAGACAGAAAATACTGGTGCTGCAAGGTTAAAGGTGAAAACAGATTTCTACAGGCTAGATGTGCGTTACTCTCTTTATTTAGCACATTGGTCAGAACCAAAATTTGTGAAGTGAATTATGCTTATGCAGACGAGGTTGTAAAGGGTGTCTGTCATGGTTTAGGGCTGAGTTGGCCACTAAATCCTGGACAGACTCTCTCTGTTAACCCCTCTCCCCTCCCCAGAAGGGAAGAGAAAAAGAGAATAAGGGAGAGAGACTTTACGGGTTGGAAAATAAACCAACAGATTTAATAAAACAAAAATACTAATACCACAGGATAATATTGTAAATAGGAAAATAATGAAAAACAAAAAAAATAAAAAAAATAAAAACCAAAACCAATATAAAATCCTCCCCCCAATGACGAATACATCACCAGAGGCTCTGTGGAGCCGGGCACTGGAAAAAAAGTCCCAGACCAAACTCATCAGCAGTGGGAGCTGATGCAGAACACACAAATCAGGATCAGCGGCAGACGGACCAGCAGGGGCTGCTCAGGCCTCAGCCTCTGCAGGATCGAGATGGATGGAAGGGTCCGAGATGGAAGGGCTCCAAGATGGAAGAAGGGTGAAAAGGAACGAGACCCTCGTGATCCCTCAGTTTTTATACTGAGTGTGATGTGTGTGGGATGCAATACCTCGTTGGTCAGTTTTGGGTCTGCTTCTCCCCCTGTAGGCACAGACACCGCACCCATGATGAGACAACTGACCTCGAGCATATCTTCTGGCAGCGCTGTTTGGGAAAACCATGCTGCTAGTTTTCAGCAAGTTCAGTCACTTAAAAGAGACTGAGCTGAAAAGTAAAATCACTAAATGGAAAAAATTAGTTCTGTTTAGCTCAAACCAGGACAGTGTCCTATTCACCCTCCTTTTTACTCTGATTCTTGCTGGAAATACAGAGTTTGGGAGTCCAAGGGCCAATGACAGGCGGGGGCATCATTTCCTGTTAGTGGAAGCAGTTTTCACATGTGGTAAAATAATTTGAAGATGTGCTTGCTATGATTCTTTTTCTATGGGTGAGAGCACCGGAAGCTTTGGCAAGACAGTATGTACAGAAATGCATCCGCTAGCATTGGAAGACAGCAAAATTGATGTTGATCCTGTTTCATGTGAGGGTGTTTCACTCATCTTTGTTTTTACTGCTGTTTAGGTTCATCTTGTTTGTGGAAAGAGCAATAAATTGGCTTATGTGTCTGAGCCAAGTACTTGTGTTTACTCTCTGACATTTGAGACTCCTCTCGTGTGCCATCCTCACTCTCTTTTAGGTAAGATTTAGAAAATCTCTTTTGTGTGGAACAGCTGACATATTACACCAACCTCAGAGTGTAAATTTTTAGGTTCTTTGAGTTTGTAACTTGATAGAAATTAGTATTAAATGTGACACATAATATGAAGTGTATTTTAAATCCCAATGACTATAACACATAGTTATTTCTCAAGTAAATTTCCATTGCTAGTATAGATCCAGTGAGTGATTTTTTTTTTGTTTTGTTCTTTTTTCTTGGACTGATCACAGGAATCAGCCCTGTAGTGTCTGCTTATTTACTTATGTTACAAAAAGGAAGAGCTTGGTTAGAATTATATTCAACAAAGAAATATGAGACTTTCTAGCTGGAAATAAAAAATTTTTGGTTGATGGCATTCTCCAGAAATTTTGAATGAGTGAACCAGAATTTAGGTTTAACCTCAACTCTTGAAATCAGTAGAGACTCTGTACTGTACAGAAGCATTAAGTTCTTAAAACAAATACGCTTGCATGCTCCTAGAGGAGAATTTAACTAATGCAGGACAGTGCTGTTGGTTTTTACATGATTTGGTTTCCATTTTTCAGTTTATCCGACTCTGACTGAAGCACTACAAAGGAAGTGGGATGAAGCAGAGCAGCTTCTGTATGATGAACTAATAACTGACCGGGTTTGTTCATTTCTTCCAGCTCTATTTGGTAAAGAACAATTACTGTCAAACAGCCAAACCTGGCTTCTGCAGTTTCTCCTTTTGGAATGAATGCGTTTATTCTGCAGTTGGCCAATAATAATAATTTTTGTGCAGTGTTTTCTACAGTGAAGCTTGGGGGATTGGAATGGCCAGTGGAAATGACAAGCAGAGATGAGAGTTGAGTGGGTTGATCTGTTGTCTTTTGGAAACTTTCTTTTTTAGGGATACAAAAAACTACTGAAAGAGATTTTTGAGGAAGCAGGGCTTCTAAAACCAACAGAAGAAAAGGAAGTTGAGAAACAGAATAAGAAAATAAGTCTGGAATTTGAAACAGTGGAGAAGTGCAGTAAGGTATAAAGCGTAATATTTACAATGCGGAATTAAATTGCTGCCTTTTTACTGTATGACAGTGTCGGTGTGACAGCATTATGTACATACTCTTTGGATTGAACTGAAGTCTGTTCATGGGATTATCTTTTATGGTTTCAGTATGTAACAGTCTGCATCCAGAGTGATTTGATACTGTTATTCTAGCCCTTAAGTCAAAAACAAACCAGCACAACTGAATGCCCAATAAGAAGACGGGGTGAGGGAGGTATGTGGGAATTAGTGTAGGTGCTTGGGCTATGAACACCCTGTAAGTATTCTTTCTGGGGAATATCAGTCTGGAAAAAAGAAGGAATCCCTAGTGAAAATAAATGTGTAAGCAGGCTTGGGAATGTTGACATTTCTCTCCGGGTCATTACCCAGGCTTGTGCCCGAGTGCATTGGCTGTTACACGAGCGAAAGGCAGAATGATCTGTGCCGTGTCCATTTCCGAGTGACTTCATGCGTGTGCACGGTCCTGCAACAGAACTGAAATGGGCAAAACAGCAGTAGAAGGTGTGTTCAGCGTAAAACAGTGCAAGCTGAACATCAAAAAAACATGGAAGGGAATTCATTCATTATAGTGCAGAGAAGAAGCTGCTCTTGTTATTTTATTTAAAAATTTAGCAAAGACAAAACACCACGTAGTAATTCCTGAATGTAGCCAAATAAACTGTGGTTAAGCTGAATATACTTCTATAAACATTACCATTTTGATGTCATACTGTTAAGAGAGGGAATATTCACCTACTTTTTTATTCAGTTGTTAACAATATAGTACTTAATAATTTGCACTTATTTTTTCTGGTTTCGTCATAGCTGAACATGAAGTGGGCTGTTTTGATAACACAGAATCTTAGCATAGTTAATCTTTTGCTCTTTCTTGATTCATGTAAAAACCAAAACACAATAAAAAGTTGGGGCTTCTTCGAGATTTCAGAGTCTCAAAAGTACTAAGCAGTCCCTGTCTCTGTAAGTTAACAGAAACTGCTGAAAGCAAGAACTTTTAAGTTACTAGGTCAAGAGTTAAGGAAATGGCAAATTTCCAGACTTGTAGCAGTATGATACAAAAATACAACAAAATTGGTCCTATAGCAAACTCATGAATCTAGTTTTGTGCTATGATAATTTTTACTCTCAGGCTTGGAAAAAGCTGGCTTCTGTTGGCTGCCATTTCCTGATGGCTCCTGTTTTGGCAACATAGAAATACATATTTTTTTAAAATGTGTACCTTGTCCTTGCAATAAACAGTTTGTCTTTAAGATCTTTTAAGTCAAAAGCTGTAACAGCTGTGCACAGGCCCATTGTTTTTTATAAACTATTTTATGTTGGCATTTGGAGAGTGGGAGAGCCATTTAAAATGTTTTTTCTTTCTTAGGAATACAAGCAACTTTCTAAAGAAATAAAAGAGCTTAAAGATTTGTTAAGTCAGCATGGTATTGCATACAAAGGAAATTCTGGTGAGTTTTTTCATCTAATTCTTTTTCATTATTGTCTATTCAAAATGTGAATACCAAAATGTTGTTTTTAGTTGCAGCAAAGAATAGATAATCTGTCATATATGAAAGTAAAATTCAGTAGACAACGTTTGTAGTAAGTACTTAGGTCTTGATTCCTGCACAAGAAGACTTGCTTTGCCCCCAAAAAACCTGTTGATGATTTGAAGTTTTAACTTTATGGAAAAATTCTGACTGCTGTTGTAATTGAAGTTTGTCTCCAGTACTTCAGGTGCCAAGGAAAAAGGAAATCAGTGTCACAGCATTCATAGTACATAAGCATGTTTTAAGTAACTCCCCTTTCTGCATAGTCAACCACAAGGCTTGACTTCTTCAAGAGCACTTTAAGTGTTCTCTGTATTTCATAGAATCATAGAGTACCAGGTTGAAGGGACCACAAGGATTATCTGGTCCAACCTCTCCAGGTAGAAGTATCATTTAAATGAGAGGAGTCAGCCTCCTGTCAAGCTGACTCTTAAAACTGACCAACATAGGGGAATTCACCACTTCTCCTGGAGATTGTTTCAATGTCTGATTGATCTTATGGTAAATAAATTTCTTCTGGAGTTGAGTCAGAATCTCTGCAGGAGCAACCTGTGTCCATTACCCCTCATCTTTTCCATGTGACTTCTTGTGGAAAGGGAGTCTTCATGTTCTTGGTAGGCACCCTTTATGCACTGGTACATGGTGATAAGGTCCTCCCTAAGCCTTCTCTTCGCAAGGCTGGACAGGCCCCGTTTTCTTAGTCATCTTTTTTTTCCTTTATTTGATTTGTTAGGTAAGTACCATATCACATGCAGTTTTTAGAAGGAAAGACTGGTGCTGGCTATAAAGAAGCAGGGGTTTTCTGGATTCATTCCAGACAAGTTGGGTTTGGCTTTGTTGTTGTAGTTGGGTTGTTTTGTTTGTGGTTTTGGTTGTTTGGGTTTTTTTTTGTTCCTTTCCATTCCTTCCAGTTCATTTTGCCCATTATTACATGAACTGTTTGTCTAAGGCGAATTTAATTTCCCTGATTATATATTTACAATGTCAAGAAAACAATGAACCTTTGAGCTAATTAAATTAGCAACATACTTATTTTTTTCTTCATTTTGTTTTGTGAAACTTTTTTCTCTTTTTTTAAACTGGTGAGTTTCATTTCTAGGGAAGACTCATCATATTAGAATTTTTGTAAAACACCTTATCTACATGTTTACCGTATTAACTATGTAATGTGCACAGTATTTCTGCCTGTTTGGTAGTTCATTTAATTATTGCAGGTTAGAACTGTATGATCAAAAGCAGTATTCACAGTTTACTCTAGATTACTTATTTCAAAACTGTGCAGTGAATTATGTGACAAAAATGTTTTGGTGTTTAAAAGCAGAAATAACTGATGTCTTAATATTGCAGCTGAAAATACCAGTGTTGAACATGTAAGTCACAAACTGGCAACTGCAGTGACAGCTGTTCTTAATGAGTTAAAGGATGATGAGCACCTGCATGGCGATACAGGAGTCTGGAATGACACTGCATGAAGAAATGGGTGGTAAATGGCAAGTTTATACGGAATGTCAAGCATATTGAACATGTATGGTGGCACTAAGATTATTTACTTTATGCGAGTATTCTTGACTTTCTGAATTTCTGCCCTGAAACAAAGGGAACGTAATGGAGTGAGGGCTTCCTGTTACTGAGGTCAGTTGACTTTTCTCTGAGAATGTTTGTAAATCTCCTTTGCTAAGGCCAGTATTGGCCATAGGTTTACAAATTCTGTGTCTCCAGTCCCAGCTTTGTGATTTTCTTTTATTAAGCATGGTAACAGGTGGTATAAGTACAAAACAGATCAAGAGCAATGCTGTTAAGATGTTGTAGAAAGGTAGTAAGTACAATTTTAAGAACATGTTATTTCATCTGTATGCTGCAGTGTTTTCTGTGCAGGCTTCAGCAGAAAAATGTTTTCTGCCGCAGCAGCGCACCATGCGGTGCTCCACCACCGCTGCTCAGAGGTTCGTGTCATCTCTGGGTAGTCGGCGGATAAAAGGAAGGCTGTTCAGGATCTGACGGCAAGGTGCTGTGGCAGCACGAGCCTGTTGCAAAGGCCGAGTTGTGTTCAGGGGATACGCGGCACTTCTGTGTCTGAGATGGAATGAAGCGGCCCCTCCTAACCCGGGCTGCGGAACATCGGTGTCGGAGTGGGCGGTCGCCGAGTCCGCCCCTGCG